GAGGCATGCTTGTGGCTGCCCAAGACGTGTTTGGGTTGAAGAAGAAGATCCTAAAGGTTAGGTTTGAGGAAGACTCAAACTTAACTAAAATCCTTCATTAATTTGGTTTTTCGATGGCAATGATGATGGCATTTTTTTTAACTCACATTCTGGTGGAGAAAGTCTCTTTATGGTGGTGCCTTATTATTTGTGTCAAGGTAGAGAAATTTTACCAATGTGGAGATTGTTGGGATTTTGGCATAATTTCATTGGTTAAATTTTGACATAATTTCATTGGCTGAATGATATAATTATGATAGTCAACTGTTTCGTCTTATGGATGACTTAATGCGCAAGTTAAGGATTTGATAAGGTAATAAGCAAACTTTAAAGGAAGAAATTGATAATGAATGAATTTCTTTGTGCCAGCAATAAGTGAGCTATCCAAAGGCGGCAACTTTGGCCTATAAATTAGATGTGAGACGCAGAGAAAGATTGTGACCCCGTGTAATCCTTTGTAGATCCCGGTAAGATCCTTCAAAGAGATATTATGATCAAGAGGGTAGAGTGTGAATAACTTATATTAGTTTTTGTGTGAAGAAATCTTTTTGTGTGTACAATCTTCAAGAGAGATATTTGAAGTTTGTCTTTGGGTGAGTTTTCTTCTTTATGTAACCATATAATTATTTAGGATTTTTCTTGAGAGCGTACGGTGAGCTTTTCTTTGTTTAGTGGGTGACGTTTTGTTGTGAGAAAAGTGATTATTGCCAGGAAGAATCAAAACGTTCTTCAGTTTGTAATTTTCTTCTATATAGTGATACATATCATATCACATGTGGACGTAACCCTATTTGTGAGGGTGAACCACGTATAAATCTTGTCTTATGGTGTGTTCCTTTTCATCTTTATTTATATCTTATTGTTATAGGATTTGCCATCATTGTGTGTATATTTGTTTGGGTTTCTGTTTCTGCCCAACAAATTAGTATCACAAGTTTCTGATATGCCCAACATATATTTGTACAACTCCCTCTATTGCTCTGAACAACGAACCAAGTCCAGAAAGAAACCCATATGCATTAATTTCCGACGAAATCTTAGAGGTCTTTTGTTCTTATCAATCTCTTCGTTCTTAGGTTTTGGTTGTTTTGGTTATTTATATACATCCATATAGTCATATACTATATATAGTGTATATACAGATGAGTAGGTTTTTTTTAAAAAAAAAAAAAAAAAAAAAAAAATCTGGGTTGTTTTCCAAGGATTTGAGGAGGTGAAATTGGATGGGTAATATCGAAAGTAGTTGCGTAAACGGTCACCGGAGACAAGGGAACAGGCGCAACCACCCTCCGCCACCGCCACCGCCACCGCCACCGCCACTGCCACTGCAGTAGCCTCACCCTGAAATCACGGGTATGCTTTCGTTGCTGTACCAATATCCAAACATGACCGTTGAGGGGGATTTCATATGTTGTAGCCAAACATAACCATTGAGGGGCAATTTATGCATTAAAATTTAATTTTTTGTTGATGTCGACAAAAAGTGCCTCTGACCAGCTTTGACCGTTGACCGAGTGGGGAGACTGATGTGTGTCAGAAAAAGTAAAGGGTTTGACTAAAATTTTGCAAGTGGGGGGAGGGGGGGTTGGACAAACCGCAAGGGTATAACTGAATTAAACCCTTTTAGAATCAAAATCTCACATTTCTTCATGTGGATACTAAAAAGATCGATAATCCTAATAGTTTTTTTTGTTCTGTTTTTTTTAACGGTCCTGATTTTGTAGGAAAGTGCGGCCCATTCATCAACGGTTGTCATAATTTTAAGGTTTTGGAAAAATAAATATTTGGAGAAAATTATTTTTTCAAAACCAAAATTTTTTTTAAATATATATATATATATATATATATATTGCAAAATAACACAATAAATTTTCAGTTTTTGAAGAAGACCCTTTACAACTTCGAATGTATTTATCTAAGTAAGAAATGACGTTTAATTCCAACTCTATATCATTTTTCTTTCTTAAAAGAATAGTAACATAACTTTTTTTTCCAAACACTTAAAAAATATCATGAAAACTAGTCCGATTGTTTTCATGGCCTTAATTATTATGTAACATATTTGAACATATGGTTATCTCATTTCCTTTCTCACTCTGAAATAAAAATGAGTTTATTATCATTTTTAAAAAATAGTATGGGGTCAAATGCAAAAAACATGTTTATAGTGCATATTGCACCCCTCCAATGTAAAAAAAAAAAAACACCCTAAACTATGACATTTTTGCAAATAGGTCATATTTATTAAATTTGAACTAAAATATCCTTAACAACCCATTTTATAATATATAATTTTTTTTTATTATTATAAAATGACTAAAAAGGGTTTGCCGGTGTGGAAAAAATGATGACTCCTACTTCGGCGTCGGCATCGCATAGAATGGCCAGCTCTTCCGCCTAATGATGCTAACCTTACACACCTTCTCTATCTTCTTCCAGTATTTTATTAGCAAAAATAATTAGTTAAATATTGGAATAGAATAATTTAAACCCAGTATATATGCTCGTGATGCCTACAACCCCCTTCCCTCTCTTTATCTCTCCAACCCAACCCCATTTCCTCTCTCTTTCTATCTCTACCCCACTCTCCAATCACAACCTCAACATCTCACTACCACCACCCAGTTGTGTCGAGGAACGGGGATGAAGGGCGGCGATGGTTTGAACCGGTGATGAGGCGGACTAAAACGAGGGCGACAGAGATGTCTTCAGCGAGGATAGTGGTGCTCTGAAGCGGCGGCGGCGACGGAGAACTATCTGAAAAGTGAGTTCGACAAACACATCTCATCGCCGGCCAGTTGTGTCGCCGCCGTCCTCAAAGTTGCACATCGCCACATCGTTGGACGTCGGTATCGGTAAGTTCAGATCCCTCGTGCATCGCCGTCGCCGTTCCTAGCTCGCCCTACACATCTCATTGCCGTCCAGTCCTTGCGCCGGTAGTGGTGCTCTTTCCTTGCCAATTTACAAACCCGATCGTCAACCACCTCTTCCCCACCGACCCAATTGAAGCCCAAAATCAGAACCTCCTGCACGAAGGTCAAATTTTGGATCTTCCCTTCAAGCTCTCAATGAGATCCGGATTTAAGTTTGCAAATTTATGTCATATTTATATAGACAAATTGGCATTTTTAAACCTATTTTTTATAAGTTGGTGGTGGTCACCACCTCCGAGAAATGAAGAAAGATATATAGATTAGATGTGTGTGTATATATATATACACACAGATATATGTATATAGAGAGAGGAAGAGAAATAAGAGAGGGTAAATATTGGAATTTGGAAGAGAGAGAGAATCGAAATTACAGAAGAAAAAAAAAAAAAGAGAAAAGAAACTGAAAATTAGCAGGGAGAAATGTTTGGAGAAAGTTAGAGAGAGTTGCAGAGGTCCTTGTTGCCCGAGGTGCAGAGAATTTTTTTGATTTATCTAGGGGCATTTTTGAAATTGTAAAAGGGTAAAATAAATATTATATTAATTAAGGGTTGTTTTTGCATAAAAAAAAAAAAATAGGAGTGTTTTTTGTACACATTTTTAAATAGGAATAAAATTATTACGAAATGAATACTTCATAATGTTTCTTGCACTTACCCAATAGTATGTGCTTCTCTTTCCAAATGTCCTAAGAAGTTATTTATGGTTTAATATAAAACAAAATGATAATAGTAATAATAAAAAAATAACAATATTTGTTTATGACTTTTTTGCTATTCAAACTATTAAACAAAATCCTTCTATATCTTTTTTTTTTTTTTTTTAAAAAAATAATCTAATTCTTCATTTGCTATTATCTTCTACTTTAATGTATTTTGTTCCTTCTAACTAAACGAAACCTTAAAAAATAAAGTATATATTTCTATTTTAATAAAAAATTAAATAAGAAGCATGAAAATGGTGTTATTACAACTTCTCTATAACATTTTCATGTTTAAACTACAGAATTGACATAAATATAGTTGAATTTTTTCCAAATTATAAAACGAAAATTTAACCCACAGTTGGTTCAATTGAAACTAGGAACCAAATTTATTTTGTATTTAGATCAATCGATTTACTTCATATCACAATACTAACTTTGTATATTGACACGAACTCATGAGACCACCACAAGTGCATGAGGCTACAAAAAGTAAATTGTATAAAAGAGTGACAAAGTTAATTAAATATATAATTAAAATGTACGACACTGAAGTTCTCTAATCCATTTAATTTCACGTGTTGTCGTACTCACCTAAAATTAATTAAAAAGTACAAACTGTGGTTTAGCGGTACCAAGTTTCTATTTTTTAAAGAGAGGTCAAGAGTTCGAGCCTCAGTGAAGACATGTGTGTGTAAGTACCAACTAGAAAAAAAAAAAATTTAATTAAAAAGTATAATCAAATTGTTTTGGGTATCATGGACACTTAATTGATAAGAAGTAAGACTGAGTTTGGCCATATGTTTAGACTTACTAATAGCATTATTTGCAGCGATTTATTTATTTCCTGTTGTGTTCTCACTTTTGATTATCCCACAGTATTGAGTAATGACCTTCATTTTTTTTTTATTTGTTTTTTCTTGGTCAGAATTAGAAATCAGAGGGGAGGGGATAGGCGGCTCAAACCGAGGCGCGCACGTCAAACCGTGTAGCACCTTGTAGCTTCTCACTAACTGGGACACAAAGCACGCCGGTAATGACCTTTATATTTTAAAAAAGGGTACAAATTTCCTTAAACTACCCTTTTGATCTTCCCAAAATGCCCTTATATCATTTTACATATAACCAAACAATGTTGTGTTTGGTTAGGGTACATTGGTCATTTTATATTTATTTATTTTTTCAAATACAAAAGGGCACTTTAGTCTTTTTTTTTCAAATACTGACCACATGCCGTTGTTCGCACCAAAAATAAATATTAGGGACTTTTGAACCTATAGAGAGATATATACCCTATTTGCGAACACCGGGTGTTTTTCACTCTCCGCATTTTTTAAAATACAAACATAGATAGATTAGAGTGATGGCAATGCCAACAAAATTATAGGATTTACATTATCAATTCATCTGGTTTTTACAGTCTCCCTCACTCCATCTGCATTGAAAAGCTAGACAATCAAAATCACTCTACAAAATCAACTGATGGAAAAATTGGCAAAATTCTTGAATGATATATCTTCCTGCACTTCGGATGGTACATGGGATTCGTCATCCATCTTCCATCTATTGCTTGCACTTCCAGAAGCTAAACATGCTATATACTGATGCGATGAACAAATGCGTGCTGAATTTGGAAAGAAACAGTGCCACCTTCTTCGATTGCGCTTTGCTATGGTAAGACTTACGGAATTTACAACGATATATTCGAGTAAAAATTGGCAAAAAGCAATGGGCTCCACATTTTTTTTCTAGGAATTAAATTCTCTTGTTTTACCAGTAGTCCCCACAGGAACAAACACCATTTTCAAAATGGTGAAACCTTTTCCGATCTCTCACCACAATTTTTCTTCCAGTAACCTTAGTAATGAGCTTGATCACTGAATGACAATCATTGCATACTCTTAGATTTTTTACGACCCTTATTGTGGTATATGGTTTAGTCGAGATTAGCCCATAGCATATTGCAAGCCGCTCACTATGGATAGCTAAGGCCCCTTCTTTCTCCTGATCCTCAATATCCTGTAAAACCACACCTGTTTCTGGAGAGTAACCCTCAGATCTCAGTATCTGATTCAACTCCTTTAGTTTTCTGTAGATTGCTTCCTTTTCCGGATGTCTAAGGTCCCCCAAAAGGAATTCATGAATCTCATTCTTCACCTCAATCGAACTACAACCCGGTTCCTTCTTAATACCACATTCCTTCATCTTTGCTCTCACTTTTGCAGCATCCTCCCATTTACTCATTGAAGCATAGACATTAGACAGAAGAACATAAGTTCCCGAATCAGCATCCCCACTTTCTAGCAATATTTTTGCAATAACCTCTCCTAATTCGACATTTCCATGGATTTTACAGGCACTCAACAGAGCTCCCCACATGATATGATCCGGTGCTATTTTCATTCTCAGAATAAAATTATAAGCCTCTTCAAGACGACCCACACGGCCAAGAAGGTCTACCATGCATCCATAATGCTCAATCCGTGGTTCAATCCCATGATATCCAGTCATTGCGTCAAATATTTCATACCCCAAATCCACCAAACCCCTATGACTACATGCATTCAACACGCCAACAAAGGTAATGTTGGTTGGCATTAACCCTTGCTTCATCATTCGTTTAAACATCTCAATAGCCTCGATGCTCTTCCCATTTGATGCAAGCCCCACAATCATGGAATTGTAAGTGCTGACACCTCTCTCTTTCATCCCATTAAACACTTGTTCCGCCTCATCAATACTACCACATCTTGAGTACATGTCAATCAAAGCCGAACCCACAAAGTAATTCATCTTGATATCAGACTTCCCCACATAAGAATGCACCCACCTTCCTAGCTCCAATGCCCCCAACTGTGAACAAGCGGATAAAACACAAACAATAGTAACTTCATTTGGTCTCACACCTTCTCTTTGCATATCCCTAAACAACTCCAAAGCCTTATTCATTTCCCCATTCCGAACAAACCCATCAATCATTGCCGTCCAGCAAACCGTGTCCTTACTTTGAACTCGACAAAAAACACTAATCGCCTCCTTGACTAACCCATAATCAAAGTAAGATGAAATCATGACTGTTAATGCAACAACATCTCTTTCAGGCATTTCATCGAAAACCCTCCATGCATCATCAAATTCCCTGCATTTTCCATAGAGTTGCATAAGTTTCATCCTTACAGATCGATTTGAATTCAACCCGAGCTTCAAAGCCCGTCCGTGAACTTCTTTACCTTCTTTCAATGCCAATTCAAACCCACAAGCATTTAGAACTGAAGTAATCGCGTAATTGTCGGGTACAACTGATTCGTGGACCAATTGAGAATATACCCGAATCCCATCAAGACATGACCCATACAATACCAATCCATCAATGAGAGCAGTGTAGAGATAGACATTAGGGTTTCGAGTTTGTTGGAAAACCTTGTAGGCGTAATCAATGGACTTACAGTTGGAGCAAGTGCGAAGGAGCTCGAACAAAATAAAGGGGTCTTGTTCGTGTCCGTTTCGGATGATTTTGGCGTGTATTGGAGTGATTTGTTTGATGTGTTTGCATTTCTGCAACAGAGTGATGATTTGCTTACGTTGTGGGGAGTGATTGGGTTTTGAATCTGAATTTGAATTTGGCGGGAACGGAGACAGTCCCACAACGGCTCTTGTGGAGTGACTCATCATCAGTCATTATCTCCCAAATGTACCTATTGATTTTTTCATTGTAGTCGTGCGTGTTTATGAGCATGAGAAGAAAGTGAAAAAGGATAACACTTCATGCTTATGTGAATTATGGCCCTTTTAGTATCTCCTTGTACACCTGTCCATCCATCTTTAATGAATTTTGTGTGCGCTAACAAATACTCCGTAATATATATATTAATTTTTTGATATTTTAATTATGAAAAAACTACCTCTTTGACAAAGATTTTTTTTATCTTTTTAATAAATTGGTATATTATGTATCTTTGCAGATCTCATAGTATATTGTTATCTTTTAGTATAAAAACTATCTTATATACCTTTGAAAAAAAAAACTTATATTTGATGGACAAAAATGACCTCACTGAAACCGGTTCCCATAACATTTAAGTAATTTAAAAATAAAAAATAAAAAAGTCTATCTCCCCTCCGTCGTGGGTCATATATGTCATTCTCTTTTTCCTTAAATAAGACTTCCCTATATCGTTAATACTTCGTTATCTGTACTATCAATCAATTGTATTCTGTGACATAAATAAAAGTATTCTATGTTAGTAGGTCATATCTAATTAGTTGGTAATAACCAACAGGTCCGTAGCCTAGCTAGTAGTATCTGGCCCCAACTTCCCAAAGAGAGGTCAAGGGTTCGAGCCTTAGCGGAGGCATGTGTGTTTGAGTACCAATTAGGAAAAAAAAAAATCAATTGGTAATACCACGTCACTAATACAATCGGCCCAAAAAGTTTTTCTTCCCCTCTTTATTCGTGGTCTCCAACATCACCTGGTGAGCCTTTTGGTATCGACTCCAGCTGGCTAGGACCATGTCACCGACATCATCCACCTCATCGTCTTTCTCCTTTGTTGCATCAATGGCCATTGTATTCCTCCTTGAATACATAAACGGCTAGTACAACATTGAATAAGAGTGACCAACTTATATTAGTGTGTCGTGTCAAGACATGAGTATTTCATTGGTGTGTTAGGACACGAGTATCTTATTATATGAATTAACATGAACACGATACAATTATTATTCATGCTAATAAATCTTAACACAAACACAACACAATTATTAATCGAGTAAATTAATACGATACAACACGTTTTACTTAAAATTTCATACTATTAAAGTCATTTTTAAGATGAATACAACAAGTTTATCTAACACATTTGCAGATGTCTCGATAACCCAATAAGTTAGTGCCTCTGGTGAATTTTGGAGTACCAGACTTCGGCTCTTTACATTTACTAATCTAACTTCTAACACTTCTTACCTTAAAAAATAAATAAATAAATATAACATATTAGTTAAAACGAATCTCATCGGGTAGAAAGTGAATAGGAAAAGAGATTAAAGTTTGCTATCAATTATGTTTCTGCCAGCCAATCAAGTTACAATCGTGTGCTTTTATAATGTTGATAGTCAAGAACTGAACACATTCTTTCATAACGTGGAAACACAGTTGCTGCTATGGGTTCATTGGAGACGATAGTGTGGTATCGACCTAGCTTAATAGAGTGAGAGAGACTTACTTAGGTCCGCAGCATCTCCATAGAGTGAGAGACTTACTTAGGTCCTCAGCATCTCCGTCTCTGATACTGCTACTACTCTTATTTTCAGAATTAAAATCTCACATTTCTTCATGTGGATGCTAAAAAGATCGATAATCCCGTTGGGGCAGGTTTTTTTTTTTTTTTTTTTTTTTTAACGGTCTTGATCTTCTGTTAATGATGTGGAAATTCTTCAACCCAACATGTTTGTTGGGGTTGACAGCCTAATTTCCAACAATATATCATTGGGACCTCTCATCACTGCCATCTATTCCCTTCTTTCAAGCAAGGTCGTTAAAATTGGGATTTTACGCAAAATCGTTTTAGGTTCCGTAGAATCGGATTGTGAATAGTAAAATTCTACCAAATTATGAAAAAGTAATTAAAATTAACTTCTTGAACAATAAGATATGTAAAATATAACTAAAATAAAGCCAAAACACAAAATATTACATATTCATAAGTTCATAAATTTCAAATTCTTGAATATGTGACAAACCTATTTGGTGACAAACTTATTTGGGTGCGTGTTGCTTTCACACGGTAGCTAATGAATTATTATGTTCTTAGCCCCTGCTATAGTGTGACAACATGGGTCTTTGCTTTTTTGCAATCAGTGTATCTATCAGTTTTGATAAGGATGTGAATAAAAATAATAATTTCTTCCTACTTACTTTTTTTTCTTTTTTCTTTTTTTCTTTTTTTTTTTTTTTTTTTTTTTTGTTCATATTGGGTTCCACCACAGGTCAATAATCTAAAGTACTAGCTTATTTATTTATTTATTTTAAATGTACTCCCAAGTTGAAACTAAAATTTAGATAATATTATTTTAGAATTTTATCATATATTCTTTTTTCATATTTTAGTTTTTTTAATCAATTTAAGAATATTTTCATAATTATACAAAAAAGAAAAGAAAAGAGAGACCTATAAAGTTGGTTCCTTTGTAAAGTTTATGCAATTCACTTAATCAGAAAATTAGGGTCCGTTTGGTTAGTTAAAAATTGATGATGGAAAGTAAAAGAAAGAAAAGTGAAAGAAAAGAAAAGAAAATTAGTTTTCTATTATGCATTTGGTTAGCAAGAATTTTTTTGAAGAAACTTGTGAAAAAATGTTGTTTAATTAGTTTGGATAGCAAGAGAATGAAAGGAAAATGATTTTATATGTCAAAATTACCCTTATGAATTTAATAGTAAAATAATAATAATATATACAATTAAATAATAATAATATTAGTAAAATAATATACACAATTAAATTACCCTTATGAATTTAATAATAATAATAATAGTGATAAAATAATATATATAATTGGATTTATAAATAAATATATATGTCTAGATATGTATGTGTCTCTTTATATAGTTTTTTTTTTTTTTTTTTTGAAGTTTTCATTTTATATTAGGACTCTGCTATTAGATCAGTTTACTTTGTTTTGTAAGTGTAGCGAAGAATTTTCATTTCAAGAGTAAAAGAGTTGTAATCAAGTTAGGAGTATTAATTTGTGTAAGAAAACTCTCCTTTTGTGAGTATGAAGAAACAAAAAGAAACATTTTACACAAGAGTATAAGAGGAAATTAATATATAATGATATAACTTTCACGCGAAACTAAAATTTTCCCGTGTTTTATAGAAGAAACATTTTGAGGAAAATCAAACAGTTATGAAAATATTACTTTTTTGAAAAACTTTCCTTTTCATGCTAACCAAACGACTAAAAATCTTAAAAAATTTCTGTTTCTTTTCCTTTTTCACTAATTCATGCTAACCAAACTAACTTTTAAAGATTGAAGAGGTTTTTTATTAGTTTCTATACAATATTTGGACCAGGCGTGGCCCAAACAACTAATAGAATAAAGGCCCAAACACCAAATACTATAAAGGCCTACCCAAACACCCATTTTTGTAAAATCGTACTATTTTACGATTCTATCCATGATTCTATCGATTATACATTCGATTCTACCAATTGAGCGATTTTGTTAAGATTTAACTCGATTTTGAATTATAAATTGTAGAATCGCGCAATTCAACAACTCAGAATTGCGATTTTAATAGCCATGCTGCACGGTTAATCTTTTTTATCACAGATTCAATCTCTGCCTACTCCATCAACTGCTCCGGATGTGATTAGTTGGACTCCATCTCCAACTAATTTATTCTCCTTATCCAAAACTATTGATTATCTTGCTCCAACCTTGGCACAAGCTTATTTGGTTTAAGCACCATATTCCTAAACACAACTTTATCTTGGCTTGGTTTAAGGGGTAGGTACGGTTCAGAACCCTTGATTCTAAGCTAACGAAGAAGAAGCATTATACAAATGCATGTTACTTATGCCTCACCAAAGAAGAATCTTTAGACCACATCTTCTTCAAGTGCAAGTTCTCGGCAGAAATTTGGCTGTTTGTACAGCATGTTCCAGGGTTTTATATTCTCCCCAATTGCTGGTCTGACCTGGTGGTTTGGTGCTCAGAAAATTGGAATTCAAAGACCCATTTGGTACACAAGTTACTATTTTCTGCCTTTATTTACTTCATTTCGATGGAAAGAAATGCAAGAGCTTTTCGCAATCAATCCTCTTCTGCACAGCACACAATCAACCTCATTAAGAACTGCATCAGATGCAGAATAGCTTCTATCAAGTTGAGAAGCACTGCTGAGCTCAGACAGGTTGATAAATCTGAAGACTTGGTGCATTTATTCAACCAGGGCTGTTCAATAGCTCATGGTCATCTCTTGTTAGCCGGATAGGATTTTTGTTGCTCGTTGGGCTCATCTACTGTGATGGTTCTTGGTTGCTCCTGGTGGTACGTGCTTTGTTGTGCTTTGTGTTCTTGTCTCTTTTCCTTTGTACATTCTCTTTATTCAATACAGGCTTACCAGTTAACCAAAAAAAAAAAGAAAAAGAAAAAAGAAAAACAAAGACAACCAACTGGAAAATCTGCTTACAAGACAAAGAAAGGAAATTCCTAGTCCTACTATTCCAACATAAAGACAATACTAATTGCAAAAACCATTAAAAGGAAAATAAAAATAATTTTTTTCCTATTCGAACATGTACTATTTCTTGTTGAACCATGTCATACACAAATAATAATTAAATACTCAATGAACAAGTAATGTTTCAATCAGACTAAATAAAATTCTAGATCTTCTTCCACTATTACGCGTGTTATCATCTACCAAAGCAAATATCAACACCTATGAAGTGCGGATATTTATATTTGTTTTTTGTTTCCATAATATTTGTTTTTTTGTTCTCAACTTTGAGCACCCATATGATACTTCTTAGGTCACAGAGTTAATAGTATTTTATGACACATGTTGTGATAATACGGATTTTTTAAAAATTTTAATTTATTTTATGAATTTTAATTTAATTGTCAAAGTTTGATTATTTTATTTTAATCGGAGACTTGTAGTATATATATATTTTTATTTGTTACATATTTTATATATGTTTTTGTTACATCAGAACATAATGGAAGAGGTGGCCGAAAATGCAAAAGAAAATTAAAAAAGTAATAAGGTAGTTGAAGGGTCCCACTAAAGTTGTTTGATTTGGTTTGTTAACTCTCTCTCTCTCTCTCTCTATATATATATATATATATATATATAATATGATGGGATGATGGAAGGGACCAGCCGAAGTGGGAAAAGGGAAAAGAAAATTGGTGATGTTTTGCGGGCTCAAAAGGAATGGATATTTAAAGAAGTTTGAATTGGTTTTTGATATATATATATATATATATATATATATATATATATTGCCTGTTGAAGCAAAAAGGGGCTGCCAGTCGATTTGAGTGAGAGAAAGGGACATTGTAATATGATAATGGTGGGGCTTATTAGTTGATATTTTAGCAAAATATTGCTTTATTTACGTGAGATGTTGCTTGAGAGATACCAGATGAAATGACACGGGTTAGTAGGGAAAGAAAGAGATGGTGGCGGGTCTTAGTGTAATTTGTGGTTCAAATGTGATTATATTTTCTGATGGAAGGGATATGGTGAGCAGTTGTGAGTGGTCGGTGGACTTGCCTTTAAATATCAATATCAGTTTTGTAACTTCGGTGAGCAAGTGGAGATAGGAAAAAAAAAAATTAGAAAGAGTTCGAGGACAGTGAGCCGAGACAGAGAAGAGAGAAATTAGAGAATTAAAGAGTGAGAGTGGAAGAGGCATAGAGAAGGAGTCGAGAGCTTGCAAAGGAGTCCGGGACCTTGAAGCTTTGATGATTCAGTGAGGAAATTCTTTTTTAAGTGTAAGCTTCTCTATATCTTGAATGGCTTGCGGTAATTTTACTTTAAATAATTTTATTAAACATTTTAATTAAATGCATATGTATTTTGTTTATATATTCACCTGAGTATGTATATTTTGTGAAACTGTTTTATTAAACCCTTATGAAATTCTTATTATGGTTTTTTCTACTGGGACTTTCTGTCTCACCACCCTCTAGTTTCAGGTAACTAAGATGAATGGAGATCACTAGATTCAGTCTTAGGTGGAAAAGTCGGCGTTGCAGGATTTATTTTATTTATTAGGAGAATTTTTGTGTATATTTGAGGAAATTGACTTTGTATAAAGAGGCATTTTTTTTTATGATCCTGGTTGTATTTTGATGGATTTGGATTCGTATAAATTGAGGATTTTATTAAAATTTTTGTATAAATTGAAAATTTTATTAAAATTTTCAGAACGTGACACATGTCCAAGCCTTGAACTCTAAAAATATAACTTTTATATAGAATTCTAAATACTTAAAGATTTTTCAACAAAAAAAATTTGAGATATAATGAGTAGATATTATATCTAGTTTAGTCCAAAGTTAAACTACTATATAACATTTAATTATAACATGTGATTTTAATTTTAAAATGGATGCAGGCTGTTTTAATTGTTATACATACTTCATACAATATAGAAATATAAATTTGTATCCCCATCTTTATATCTTGTGGTTTCCTTAATCTTATATCCAATTATCCATGATCATGTTTCATAGAAAATCACAAACCATTTCCAATTTAACAAATAAATGTCATGTCTATTAAAATAAGAGAGACAAAGTAAAAGGAAAAGAAACGATCATTCTTAATGGCAGAATAAAACAATTGGAGTGCAATATTGAAATATATATTAATATAATACATATATATATATATATATATATATATAATAAATATTTCAATAATTCCTTCCCCTGGGGTTTGATGATCAACATAGTGCAATCTTTGAAATGGGTATATCGCAGGGTAAGGTACAATGCAGACTAGCTCATGGGTTTTTGTTTTCACTTAAATTTTACATTCAATAAGGTATATTTTACATTGCGGAAGGTATATTTTACATTTTACAGAAAGTACATTTTACATTTTGAACATTCAATAAGATACAAAGACCAAATCTTCCATAAGCAAGCGCGTATCTAGTGGGTGCGCTTCTCTTCCACTGGTATATTTGTCATAAAAGTATATACAACAGTGGATATATACACCAAAAGTGCAATTGTAACCAGTATAACCATCACGGCGACTGCAAGAATTGTTGATTTGCACCCACAAGACAACGTCCCCAACCGAATCTGGATCACATTGATCATCGAAAGCATCAAGAACACGCAACCCATGACCGATCCAAAGGCCGAAAACAACATCCCAACTCTGAGGCCAGTTTTGTTAATGTCTGCCTTAGCCGCAAGCTCTACCTTGCTGTTCAACAGATTGATGGCCAGTTTGAGACCCTGCGCGACAAGGGAGGAGAAGAGGAAGAAGCTGAACGAAAAAACCTCGAACACGAGGAGCCTCTTGGCGACGGCAACGTCTGCGTGGCAGTCCACTCGGTCCTCGAGGCTCCGTTGGGTGCCCGGCGTGGTGAGAGAGAGACCGACGAAGACGGCGAAGGTGAAGAGAGAGTTGACATTGACGAGGCCGTCTAGGGCTGTCACATGGACGCGGGTTGTCGACCTAGATTCGGATCTGAAAGAGGAGAGAGAAATTGAATTAGAGAATATATAAACACATGTATATGATATCTATATATATGTGTGTGTGAATATGTAGAGAGAGAAAAGAGAGATTACTGTTTCGTGTCCATCGACTCCATCGACAGTTGTCCCTATTTAGGGTTTTATGTTTTTCCTGAAATTTGAGAGAGGAGGAAATAGAGTTTAATTTGTGAGGACTGTTGGGTTGTTGATTTTTAGGATTTGCTTGCTTCTCTGTAACTGGGAAGGGAAGTGAGTGTGTGTGGAAGATTGAGATGCTTTGCTTTTTATGGTAGTTTTGAGCGTGGAAAAAAACAACGTGGGTGAATTAATTAATGAAGGCCCCAAAAATCACGTGAGGTTAATTTGTCGAAAAAGTATCATTGGAATAATTTACAAGCTTGACAAAGACATACAACAATCCTTCCTATGTCATGTGATGATGGTGAGTTACAACTAATCTTCTTTCTTATTTGATCAATGATTAAAGAATCTTAAATTTGTTGATAAAAGCGACGAAAAAAAAAAAAAAAAAAAATTGAGAATAAATTCAAAATCAATTTTAAGTCTGTTATAGAGTGTGATTTGGATTCTGTCACATAGTTGGAGATCGTATAATCCTATTTAGAGAGGATAAAGAGGTCTTATACTTCATTAAAGATGGAGGATCAATTCTGGTTGCTTGATAATGCAATTTGGAGATTGAATGAGGACACCCAGAATGATCAACATTCCACCTTTGGTAGAGGATCCAAGTGCATTGAGATCGTAACATTGTGTAGTTTTCAAATTTAATAAAAAATACTTATTAAATCATATGATTCATGTATTGAAAATTTTACATATTATACATTTTGAGTAACACTTCATTTTATTTTATTTTTCATTAAATATATAAAAAAATAAGAGAGAGATGTGGAGTAAGATGATTGTTGAAAGTTTCAATAAAAGGAATGAAACACAACTGCCCACCTTCCCCAGATCCACGGCAGAGACCTCTTTCGGACACAATGCATGCACTTATTGTAGCACAACGCCGATGCACACAATCCCTGCTTTGTTCAACCATATAAATTGTAACACATTAGATACACAATCAACAGAAAAAGGAATAATCACATGCATTTGCAAGTCTAAATGAATTTCAGTTATATATTTTAAATCGAAATATAGAATTTTAAAAAGTGTGTTTAATATGAAATTAATATAGAATTTAAAGGTGTAATCTTCACTTGAATTCAGTTTTTATTTATTTTTTAAAATTAAAAAGGGAACGATACAAAATCATGGAATTAAAAAAAGAAAAGAAAAAAAAAAGTATATTGGGGAAATTGGACTAATTCGGTCAATATTTGTTAACAATGTTGTGAAATTAGTTTTAACTAAAAAAAAATGTGGTGAAATTAGACTGATTCGTAAAATCTTGATATCAAGCAGATGTTTTCTTTGCTTTTAATAGGTACATATTGGGGATGCATATTTTAATGATAGCTACTCTTTGGTAAACTATTGCTATCTCATTGTGCAATATTATGTTATTCCTAAGAACTACTTACTATTTGTTATAGTATTTATTAGATTAAAATTATATAGTCTTGAATTTTTGCACGTGTTTTTTGCTAGTCTGTATATATATATACACACACACATACACAAAGACAGATGGAGGGGTGAGCCTAGGTGGGCTTGAGCCTACCCAAAAAAAAAAAAAAAAAATTACTATACTAATATTAGCTCACCCTCAAAATATATATATATATATATATATATATATATATTAATAGTATTAACCCATCTAATCAGGCTCAAGTCAACTTCAGCCATCATACTAAAATAAAGATCCAAACCAAATATTAACTCACCCCAACAACAAATCATGAATCCGTCCTTGTATATATTATATATAATGAATTTCTTATTGTCTTATACCATTAAGTTTGCCCTTATGTTATGTTTGAGTGCATTAAATCGGTGTTTAGAATTTAAAATAAATAATAATAATAATAATAATAAAATTAAAAATTTATATTAATCTATTGGTGAATTCGGTGCCGAACATAATATTATGTACAAAATGGGGCGCGCCTTGGCATATTAACTTAGGATCATGTCAATAGAAAGTTGGTAAGGTATTAATTTCTTATTATTATAATTATCCAATAGTTGATGTCACCACTTACGCATATCGGTGAGAATGGCACTGACATCATAACCATATATATATATATATATATATATATATATCCCTAGCAAAGACAGCAAGACAAACAACAACAAAACCATTACACGGAGCACAAATACAGATCCCTCAAAGCCAACTCAGTAATGTGATAAGGGATAGAAGAAAGAAGACAATAAGAAAGCAACTGCCCACGCAACAAAGCTGCAAGTGCATGAGCCACACAATTTGCACTATGCCGAAGACGAGGCACTGTATCCATTGGAAAAAATTTCAACGCTGCAACAATATAAAAAACCAGCGACGCAACTGCCATCGCAGCATCACCCTCACCTGCCACAACCACAACTAGCAGTTTAGCTTCAGATTCAAAATATACGTGTGTTAGCTGAAACAATTGAGCCCAAAAAATAACCATATTTATAAGTCCATCAATTTATATAAATAGACATACTCCTCATTTATACATGATGCTTATGAATTGGATTTCACTAATAGGGAGTACCCACCTTAACTTGTGGTCCACTCATTTGATTTGGATTTCAATAGGGGACACTTGGTATAATTAATGCATGAAAATGATGTACTTTCTTTAGTCCCACCATTGTGATTTGTGACTCACTGATTTGTAATTTTAAAATATATGCTTAACGTACAATGCATTAATGTGACTGAAAAGCATATAAACTGATAATCCTAGTGACCATTAATAGGCCGCGTCACCTTAATTTGTGGTCCTGCACTTCCCTCCATTTTCTTTTGCAACATATGTAAACAAACCATAGGAAGATGACGAAAATTGGGTTGTTGGTGCCACCTCTTGTTATATATATATATAGGAAGATGACGAAAATTGGGTTGTTGGAGAGAGAGGACGATGACGAAACCAAGTTTCGTCATCTTCCTGTGTGTATATATATATATATATATAGAGAGAGAGAGAGAGAGAGAGAGGAAGATGACGAAAATTGGGTTGTTGCTGCCACCTCTTGTTACAATGCATTATCACGTTGCGTTATATATATATATATATATATATAGGATGTTACAGATTGAACACTAGATTTTTTCAGTAATCTGAACTTCCAATGAAAAAGATGAAAAATCCAAACCAGCCCTTTCAATAGGTAGAACCACCTCAAGCTGTGGTCCATTTTCATTTATAACAGATGTAAGCAACTATATGATAATCACAAAAAAATTGGGTTGTTGGGACTCTGTACAATTGTTGCATGAAACGACGAGCTTTCTAGAATCACCATAACGAGTCATATTTTTAAACGACACTGCTACACACACAATTGTCACTCACGGCTCTGTGGGGTCGTCATCGTCTTTGAGTGTTGAGCACAAGAAATTATTATATGATTTTAGAATCTATATCACCACGTGACATATTAATAAATACATTGAAGTAAGTTTTATTTAGCTTTTTGCCGTTGTGTCATATAGTGATTCGACGTACTAATGATTCCAGTAATAGAGATTGTTGTGAGATTTATATGTACCACTTACAAATGTACGAATCTTTATAGATAGATTTTACTTGTAAGGGTGTCGTACCCAAAGAATTTGTGTTAATGAAATTTGTCAACAGATTTCTCAAATTCAATAGGTAGTACACCTAAATATGCAGGGATTGTATACTCTAAAAAGTCATTATTGACATTTATTTATTATAAATTTTGATTTATTTAACTTCATATAATTTCATCATACTATATTGGTTAGATTAAGAAGTTTTGATCTCCATTGTTTAATAATTATGGTAAGATGAATTTATGTGTACAAGATGTAAAGACAAATGCAAGGGAGATATAAATTCATCAATATTCGTAATTATTAATGTTCGTACTTAAAGAAATATAAATGGTCATTCTATTTGGAATATCAACATTAAAAAAAAATAATTAGGGTTTGATTGAAAAAAGAAAATGTAAAATTATTTGTAGAAATTATAAATAAATAAAAAATGAAGGGGAAGAAGAAGAGTAAGAAGGAAAAGAATAAAAAAGGGGGAGAAATTTTTAGAAAAATATAATTTTAGGAGAGAATTATTTAATATTTTACAAATTATAAGATACAATTTAAGGGGAGAATTATTTAATATTATTTATAACCACACCTCCTTTCCACTCCTTTTACAACTATTGAGTATAAGTTACTATTTTTATTTTTATTTTATTTATTTTTTTTTTTTTTAATCTTGATATATCTCCTTTGTTAAAATTTAGAATGATACTTAACCTGTGACGACATCTGTGGGAGGGTGTGATGTGACTGAGCACTAGTAAGTTACATGTGTCATGATCTCATATTATCTGGATAAGGTGAATTGCTATATATAAGTTTTACACCCTTTAATGATGCAACGCGGGAGGTTTTTAGTCCGAAGGAGCAAAAAACAGACAATATTATATATGAAAAGGGTGAAGTTTTTACAAATGATATCAGATCTAAAACCCAACACTTTAACAATCGAAAGTGTGACCAACGAGAACATCTTAAATCCGTCCTTTTATATATATATATATATATATATATATATATATATATATATATATATAATGAATTTCTTATTTTCTTATACCATTAAGTTTGCCCTTACATTATGTTAAATAACAGTAGCATGTTTGATTGTCTGATCTACTGTAGGTCCACTCCAACCCAAACACATGTAGAGACAGGACTTTTCTTATTTATGAAGAGCCACGAACACGACTTTTTATAACCATAGAAATCATATCTACTAATAAAAATCTACTGATACATGAATTGAATGACAAAAAAAAAAAAAAAAAAAAATACATGAATTGAAAGGTCAGGCTACAGCTCCCAAATTGACACCTGTTTTCCACACACTTCTGCAAATTATTGATATTATCACATAAATTAAATGACCGGTGAGAGAGTCCCAATAGTCTGCGCCATCCTTACTGAAACTTCCTCTGTGGAAATCAAGATGATTTAATCAATCAGAAATTCAATTGTCTATGATAAAAATATCCACTCTAAAACTTCTCCTCCAGAAGCTTCCTTATCCAAAGCATTGGTGAAACCTGCAATTAAATGAATCTGTCAAGGATCAGTTTGAAGATCCCACAGACATCAATGACCCTCATGAATATTAGTTTTAATGGATTTTGTCCCTGATAGAATTGCCATTAATACTGAATTTCAACAGGATCAATATAAAGAATTCAGAAATTGGTATTTCAAAAGTTTTGACCAAAATCAATTACAACTTTTTAAAACCCAATTTTATGACTTTCTACAAGAACGCAAAATGGTTATACCTTTTGTTTCTTGGTTCTACATGACCAATCATTCTCTTGTTAATATAAACATATTGGATGATTTTCTCAAACCATGGACCACATCTGAAGATAAGGTTTTCCACTCTGTCCATCCTCCCCCTGAACATTTAATTCTGAAAAGAATTGACCCTGACAGTGGTTCTAAAGTGGAAACCAAGGCTTATAGCCAACCTAGAATAATTGATCCATCCTGTAATGCTACTAAAAAGGACATTACTCATGTTTACAGGCAGAACAATTATACTAATGTTTGCTTACAAACGATAGGGTCCCAGCTAAATTGCACCAACGTGAAACTGATGTTTGAATAAAATATACCAATTTCGGATCAAACAGTTTGAAAACTTTCAAGTTGAAAGAAAAAGTGTGTGAAAATGAGATCAAACAATGATATCATAGAAGCTGTGGTACAATTGATGCATGAAAACGACGAGCTTTCTACAGTCACCCTAACGAGTCATATTTTTAAACGACACTGCTAAACACACACAATTGTCACTCACGGCTCTGTGGGGTCGTCATTGCCTTCCAGTGTTGAACATAAGAAATTATTATATAGTTTC